CTTGTTCCTAGTAGCTTCTTGTTACTACTAGTAAGGCACTTGTTACTAGAAGCGATCTGCCGTTTCTCCTCGCGTTCCGTCTAGAGTCTCTAAGACAAAGGTCGAAGGCCTCCAACCTACTAGCAATCGCAATGGCCTCCAATAGCAATGGCAGCTGTACTTAAAAAGAAAAGTGAGGCAAGACCGCCTTGATGAAGACCTCAATTTGTAGCCGAAAGTCGCGCACGTACCTCTAGATGTCAATAAGAATATGGCACATGGCAGCGAGGCACTTGGCGTGGCAAGCTGTCCATATGACACATATTGAGGCTTGCAGAGGCTCATTGAAGCCAGCTAAGGATGTTAGCTTGGAGGCCATCGCTCTTAGGTTCCTTGAAGTTGTTACTAGTAGCTTCTTGTTACTACTAGTAAGGCACCTGTTACTACTAGCGTGGCACTTGTTCCTAGAAGCGATGGTTTTGGAGTCTTGGAGTCCTTTTTAGGGCACGTGTCCAGCTCATGCTGCATCTGGTCGACATCATCTCCGGCCCTGCTCAAGGGAAGATCAGAAGGGAAAATGTGTGCAGCTTGAGTCTTGAAAACAGTTCCAGCACAGGTATGAAAGAAAAAGAAAGTATGAAAAAAGTAAGGACCCCTTTAATAAGGCTCCTTTCATGCCCTTCATTTGTTCATCTTGTCTTTTTGTGGGTACCGGATTTTAGGGCATGCCAAGTCGGACCTGTCTGCCAAGACGAAGAGACGGATGTGACAGCCAGACCAAACGCGGTGCTTCTTCAGCAAGCTCGGCAGCAACAGGAGGACCTCGCAGCTTTCGTTGGGTCTAACCTCTTAGTTTGCCTTCTTGTTTTCAAGCTGATTAAGAAAAGAAAGGAAGAATGAAAAACACCAGAAACAAGAAGAATAGGAGGCCATCGCTATTAGGTCGGAGGCCGTCGTTATTAGGTTGGAGGCCATCGCTTCTAGGTTGTCACCAGAAACAAAAAGAATACAAAAAGAGGATCAATCCGAATCCAGTAAAATGCTGTCCTTTGGATCATCCAGCGACTTTCTGATGTTGATATGTCTGAGTCCCTCACACCCCCATCTCCAACAATCCACCAAATGTCAATGTTGCCTGTGAGGCGCTCCTTCACAAAGTACAAATGAACGCATGTTTATCAATGGTGAATCGATTTACGACTGCTGAGTGCGATGTCACAAGGGTTTTTCCCTCAACAAGTTGTCTCCTCGAACTCAGGCCACTCCAGGCCTTTGGTCAGAATCATCACCTGGTTTGAGAAGCAGCGTATGGCGAGTGGAGAGAAGTGTGTACTGTTCATGCCAAGTTTCTTTTTGAAAGATGGCCGAAATCCTGAGGGGGGGAGGAAGCTACTAGTAACAAGTGCCTCGCTAGTAGTAACAGGTACCTTACTAGTAGTAACAAGAAGCTAGTAGTAACAGGTGCCACGCTACTAGTAACAAAGAACGCAAGACCCATCGAAGTGAGATAGAACACACGGTGGGACATACGGGGAAGCAGAAAAGCCACGAAGCACGATGCACTGAACTTTGTGCAGCACCTCTTTCGACACTGAGCTTTCCACTGAACCATGTTGACCTCACAGTGTCGAAGCGACAAGCGGAAGTTCTTGATACTAGCAAGAGGACGCTACTAGTAGCGATGGCCTCCACCTAATAGCGTCCTTGTTACTAGTAGTAATGCCCTTTGTTCTTAGTAGCTTCTTGTTCCTAGTAGCGATGACAGGAGCTACTAGTAGCGTCCTTGTGTTAGCACTTGAGTGACGAAGTGCGTCACTCGAGAGTGGCATGAAGTGGGAGCATTATCAGCAGAGCGCATGCAGACTTTTCTGCATGCGTTCTTCTCAACCACATTAAAGGCTTTTGGATAAAGGTTGCAAAAGGGAAAAAATAATGGGAAAAAGAAAACGAGTGAAAGGCTGAAAAGAGACTTTAAAAACATATAAAATTGTAAAATAAACAAATAAAATTGAAAGGTGGATTGTTGTAGCTGGTGGTGGCAATCACTATGGTAGCCCCTAGTAGCGTCCTCTTGCTCCTAGTAGCTTCTTGTATCAATTCTAATTAAATTCTAATTTGTTTCTTGCTTCTAATAGCAAACATTGCTCCTAGTAGTAAGGCCAAGAGCCCCTAGTAGCGATGCCCTTTGCTAGTGCTGCCTGGGCACCAGCTTGGATCGGCGTTCTACGCCTTCGCGGCCGAGCGCCAGGGCGTCTTTGGGCCACGAGGCCAACAAGCAATTCGGCTCGAAGGCGCCCATGCCACCGGACTGAACCAAATCCGCCAGGGCGTTGGCAAAGTCGTCCTGCATTTTGAAGTGCGACCTTCATTGAGGTTTCGAAAGGAAATGAAAGAAGGAAAAAAAGAAAGGAAAGAAGGAAATGGAAAAACAAGAAAGGCCTCGAGCCAAAGAGAAGAGAATCTTCCTTCCTAAGACTACCTTAGTAGCTGAAGTAGCGGTGAAGACCCCGACCCAAAATTGGCGAGGAAGGGGGGCTAGGCCATGAAGAACCGAGTGGGGTGATGAGGAAGTAGAATAGGTTTGTTCTTCCTTTTCTTTGGACCTTTCTTCCTCTTTCTTCTTTATTGTTCCCCTTTCTTTGGACCTTTGTTCCTTCCTTGTCTTTGGTTCTTCCTCGTGGCAAGCTTTCTTGAAGAACCCTTCGGATGGCCAAGTTGGTTCCTTTTCTGGTTCACTTGGAAACTTGATCTTTATTGACTTTAATCTTTAGACACCGTTTACCTCCAACCTACTAGCCTTCTTTCGTTCTCCGCTCTAACAGACCGGACGTCGGCAAACCCTGTCCGAGTAGACCACTTTCCCAAAGCCATCGATCATGTACCTCAGCGAAAGGCTGGAGAACCCACGAGAGTGAAGGCGTTGACACCTGCACTTCATTGGGGGAAAAAAGATCTCGTCCACTTCCTCATCTACCTCTTTCTTTTTTTTCTTCTTCTCCTTCTACGTTTTTCTTCCTTGTTGCTTGTTTCGTTTGAAGGCCCTGGTTTCTGCTGGCAACGCCACTTCCTGAGCAAATCCTTCACCTCCGCATTGCCCTCAGCCACCTGGTCTGCCATCCTCTCCTGAAGTGACAAGGAAGACAACAAAAAGAAAGTTGGGTAAAGCTGAGGCACCAGTTGGAGGCCATCGCTACTAGGTTGGTGGCCATCACTATAAGTCTTGGACCAGGCATTCCTGGTGCTGCTAGTGACAATCAGAGGTTTTCAGTCAAGATGAGGACCTTAAAGGACCCTTCTAAGGACCCTTCCTTTTGCGCCACCAAGGGACACTCAAAAAGAGGCCTCCCTGAGACAAAGTCTTTCCCTTTCCGCCCGTGACGATGCTGCCCAGCACGATGAAGCCACGGCCGTTCTTGAGCTGTGACGCTGTCTTCAAGATCCCCAAGTCGGGAAAGACCAATGCCTAAGCGGCAAGACGCAAGGCGACGCAAGGCGACGCAACAAAAGACCCACAGCGGCACGAGAGGCTGTCCTTGCTACGGGAAAGACCGAGCTAAGGCTTGGACAGATCCTTCATAGCTGCTGAGCGACCTGGTCTAGTGAAAAGACACCCGTCAAGTGCCTTCATTCGCATCTATAAAGTGTTAGTCATTTTCCAAACCGGTCCCATTGAAAAACAAAAGCAAAATCGCAGAAAGCACCTAAAGCAAGCAGAAAGTAGCAAAAGAAAGAAAACAAAAGCTAGTCACTGGCTGCCAGTCCACCTCATCTTGGGCTCGGTCACCACAAGCCTGCGGGTTATTCTTCGCATCTCTTCACTAACGTGTCGTTCATTTGATGATGTTTATAATGTTTCTTTTGTTTCCTTTCTGGTCCTTCCTTTGTTCCTTCCATCCTTTTCTTTTTATGCTTAAATATTCTTCAGCTGAAAATCGCCAAGTCACAACTGTGGCCGCCAGTTCTTGGTGTGCAACTTGGCATCCATACCTGTATCAAGGGCATTTCGGTGCTTTTGCTTTTCACAGCGAAGCGCATCACAGCCAGGGTGCTGATGAGAATATTCTTGGCAAGCCTGAAAGAGGACAAACTTTGACACACTTCACGGCTTTGGCTGTTTGACGTTGTTCAAGCATTGCAAAAACAAACACCCAACGGTCGTTGGTGGCACCAAGTGACTGAAACTTGATTCCTTGGAAGCCCTCGCTACTAGCATAAAGGATCACTACTAGGGTGGAGGCCATCGCGAGTAGGTTGGAGGCCAAGTGACTGAAACTTCATTCCTTGGAAGCCATCCCCCCACTTGGTATTGGCCGAGTTGTAAGCAGCATAGGCCAAAATGATGCTGCAAAAGGCGATCGCCTTGGTGCAACAAATTGACCAGTCTCGACTAAACCTTTTTGATACAAAAGGACGAAAGAAAGAAAGGTCCAAAGGTTTTAAAAAGGTTTATATATCTGCGTTAAAAATAGAGTAGAACAGGGCGCCACTTGGGGCCCCACTCTGACGCGACCACGCGACATATACCCTATGTTCTCTTTTATGTTCTTTGAAGCTTGTTTCTAGTAGCTTCTTGTTCCTAGTAGCGTGGCACTTGTTACTACTAGTAAGGCACTTGTTTCTAGTAGCTTCTTGTTACTAGTAGTAAGGCACTTGTTACTAAGGAAGCTTCAAAGACCTAAAAGCTTCTTGTTACTAGTAGCGATGGCCTTCAACGTAGTAGCTTCTTGTTACTAAGAAGTTTCAAAGACATGCTAAAGAGCTTTATTGTTACTACAGGTGAAACGATTCCCAGTGAAACAATTCGCAAGGAAGCTTCTACATACTAAGAAGCTTCAAAGACAATCTGTTTGTTTCTATTTCTTTGTGTTCCTTCTTTTAGCTCTTGGTAGATATGTTATTGACAAACACTGCCAACACATTAATGCCCGCAGCTGTGCATGTTGTGTTGACAAGCCCTTGCTCAGACGAAGATCAGCCATAGCGATGACTGCCGCCATAGCAAACATCATCCAAACCTTGATTTTGAGATTTGGAGGTCAAAAAGCTAGTAGGTTGGAGGTCAAAAAGCTGGGACAAGTGATCTCTGAGTGCCCGTGAGTGCCCTGAGTGCATGACGCACAGCGCAGCAGCAATCAAGGAGATGGACCAGTGATGATAGCGGAAGGTGGGTCGCCAGTTCGGGTCGCTCACAAAGTGCAGGATCGTACATGACATGTTGACCTCGCGATCGGACGCTACCAACGGGGCTGCTGGCCTTACTTCTAGGAACAACTGTTCAATTGAAAAAATAGAAAACGACTGTTGCTGTTTGATGGGTTTCGGCAGAAAGTCCATGTCGGATGAAGTCAAAGCTGAGACCAGGAAATGCAAACTGATGCAGCAGAGTGGCACATGTGTAGCACATGAGAAAGAACATGGTCAGCAGTGGAGCAATTGCGTTCAGCCTAGAAAGAGCAGGGACTTGATGGGTCACAACTATAGTCTCCACTCGGAACTCTGAGTCACGGGCTCACCAATGGTAATGGAAAGAGCACAAAGCGCACCGCTTGCCTTGGGTGCAACCTCTAAAGGACCTAGTCCGAGGAGCCAAAAAGAAAAGAGTGACTGTGATTTCTAAACACATTTCAATTGTTAGAACAGATCGGTGTTGAGCAGTGCTGCAAGAATCTGCAAAACCTGTAATGCCCAGAGGCCAAAAGAGCAAGTCGTGGCTCTTTTCCAGGAGTCTCAGCTCAAACACAAAGCAACTTTGCAGGAGTCCAATGCAATCTCATGTGATTTGGAGGAGGCCCACCAAAGGATCGTGAAGCATAAATAAAGAAGCATGCATTCCACGGATCATGAATGGATCACACATATAATTTGCCCTAATCACGCTCACGCGGTCTGCGCCAATTCAAACAAGCAACCGCCTTGAAAACGCGCAAAATTGGTAGCGTGCCATCGCCCGCAATGGCACTCAGCAGTTTGGTTCCTCGGCCGATGCCCAAAGTGTTCGATCGCCAGAGTTTCTCAGCGATGGCCTCCAACCGAATAGCTACTAATGGCGTCCTTGCTCCTACTAGCGATGCCAGGAGCCCCTGGTAGCGAACATTGCTCCTAGTAGTAAGGCCAGGAGCTACTAGTAGCGTCCTTGCTCCTAGTAGCGATGTCCTTTGCTCCTAGTAGCAAAAGAACTTAATAGCGAAGAACAATACTGAGGCCTGCGCCTGAGACTAAGGAGTTCAGGCCTGCTCCCAGACTTGAGGCCATCACACCATAGATCACCACCTCCGCAACGAAAAGAAAATGACAGAACACACTGACCGGGATAAATAGGTCGACTTCACATTGGGCACAACAAAAGATTGAAAAAAATGCAAAGTATGAACCTATTAGGGATGGCCTCCAACCTACGAGCGATCCTACTAGGGCCTAGGGATGGCCTCCACCCTAGTAGCGATGGCCTCTAACCTAATAGCGAAGAAATGATACTTTCAACTTCAACTTCCTTGGATTGACACAAAGAGAAAGCATTGGAAAGCACAGAGTTTAGAGCGCAGTTTTCCACCTCCTTAACGGGGAAAGCCGATGTGGAGGCCTCAGGGCTGTAAAACGAAGCGGACATCTCTAAGGGCCGTCATGTCTTCAGACGCTTCGAGCGCTTCTCGGAATTCCGAGTGCTCTGAAAAGGCTAAAGGAAAACAGAAAAAGGAAAAGGTAAAGGAATCATACTAAAGAAAAAAGAAAAGAGAAGAAAGAAGAAGAACTCTGAGAACTCCTAGTTTTTGTCTTCGTCTGGTGCCTTTGTCTCTTGTCTTCCCATTGTTTTTAGAGTTTATGGTAGTGACATCCAAAACAAAAACCTTGCAAAAGGAAGAAATGAAGAAAGGGAATAAGAAGAAAGGAAAAGAACAGGATTTGAATGGAAGAAAAGAAAATAAAGAGAACATCAAAAAGAAACCGAATACGGTCTTCATGTACTTCGCATGGTCCTGGTCTGTGTTTGGCCGAGTTGCAAAGAACTTGTCATTCAACAATGTCTCTCGTGGAGCAACGCTTCCGAAGACCTTGGAGTATCAAGGGAAATCTCTTGTTTTAGGCCCCTGCCAACGAAAGTCAACAAAAGGGCTATATACTAGTAGCTTCTTGTTACTAGTAGTGATGGCCTCCAACCTAATAGCTTCTAGCTACTACTAGCTTCTTATTAACAAAAGACAAAAAATGCTGCCACGGTGCAAAAATGAAGGACAGGTAGATGAACGTGGTGAAGAGTTGGGCAAAAAGAGTCCTTGCTAGAAGAATGCGACGAAGTATGTCAAAGCATTCACACACAAAAATAGCTCCCCGGAATAGACGCTACTAGGAGCAAGGACGCTAGTACGAGTAGGGGCGCTCCTGGCCTTACTACTAGGAGCAAGAAGCTACTAGTAGCAAAGAGCATTACTACTAGGAGCAAGGACGCTAGTAGTAGACACCGCCTGGCCAAGTCACCCTTTTGGGATGGCCTTGGTGGGATCTGCAAGGTCAGCCGATCGGTTGGCACCCGCCATGATGCCCGTGACTGAGGGGAAATAAAGGCCCATCATGTTCACAAAGCTGTACCTCACTTTACAGCCGAAGGGCATAGAAAAAATTGCTAAATGGGTTGGAGGCCATTGCTTTTAGGTTGAGAAGCACATTGAGCAAAGAGAGTGCAAAGCATGTTGTTTCAGAGCCAAGGCACTCCGTGGTATCCTTGGGGAAGGCAAGTTGGGGAGCATCCCAAGCCGACCTCAAGTTGTCCTCGAAGGAGGCCGCGGAAGGACCTGGAGAGGCAGAATCTGGGAGTCTAACAGATCTAGACGGTTCTTGTGTTACATTGTTCTTTCTTTCTTTCTTTAAACCTGTCCTTCCTTTCATTGTCCTTTAGGTCCTGTTCTCGGTTTCTTTTGGCCTCTAGATCTTTCCTACTTCGATTGCTTTCTCTTCAGTCGCGTTCCCTTTCTTCCCCTGGCTTCTCAAATTAGATTGGGTTGGTGGCCATCGCTCTTAGGTTGGAGGCCATTGCTCTTAGGTTGGAGGGTAGGTTGGAGGGTTGGAGGCCATCGCTCTTAGGTTGGAGAGCTTCTCAAATTAAACAACTTTTAAGTCTCTTTTCAGCTCTCAGACGACTTGTACCCCATCACAGGTGTGGTACCGAGACAAAAATGCTTAAAATGCTTCGTGGAATCCTTTTTTGCCCTCTAAAGAAGCTTCTAGTTACTAGAAAGCTTTATTGTTACTGGTAGCGATGGCCTCTAACTAGTCGCTTCTACTTACTAGCCTTTTTTGCAATCTTAAGAAACCTCACAAAAAGAGGCCGAACCTGGTTTCGGCCACTCGTTTCACGTCTGGCCTGTCCACGTCAGTGTCTTCTGATAGGTCGTACCATTTTCGGCCACGATAGGCACCTGAACAGCTTCGGTGGAGCCGCTGTCGGGTGAAAATCTGAAAGCTGGGATAAAGCAAGAGTCTTAGAGATGGAGAGACGCTATTAGGTTGGAGGCCAAAGCTATTAAGTTGGAGGCCATCGCTAGTAGGTTCCGCTTCCCTGTTTAGAATTATGTAAGAAGAGATGGAGAGGCAAGGAGTGAGAGAGAGAGAGAGAGACCTAATTATGTTTGGCACGTAGCAAATCGAAGCTCCTTTCATAGATTTTGGCCAAGGAGCCGTGTAAGTGGCTGGCCGGCCATCGGTTGGACCCATCAAACATCCCACATACATGCAAAGAATCACGAACCTGGAGCTGTTGAGGGCACTGCTCTTCCATGATCAGCACCAAATCAACCGCAAAAAAGCTTTGGTGCCATGAAATCTTGTTGAGGTCTGTCTCCTAAGGTCCAGGCAAGACGACCATGAGGAACAAGGTTCCCAAGCGCGAAACATACCTGAGCATTCACCACATCCGGCGCAGAATCACGTCCACAGCTCGAGCGGGATATGCAAAACATATTGCACGCAAAAGAGTTCGAAACAAGAACAAGAGTTGGAGTTGTTGTTGTTGTTGCTGCTCATAAAGAGTTCCAACTGTATAAAAGAATGGAAACATAAGCTTTCTTCATGCTGATGTTTCTTTAGCTTGTTTTTCTTGTCTCTTTCGCCCGAGGGCTTGATGCCGCCAAAGATGATGAAGACAGCAAAGACGAGGATCAAGTAGCCCGTAAAACGAACGTTATTCAAGTCTCCAATCTCGCCCAGCTGGTAGTTGGGCTGAGCCACTTCCCAAGCTTCTACACCTGACAAACTTGGAAACTGTTTTAAAAGCCCGCTCCCCCCTCCCTACGCCGCCTACGCGATAAAGTAAGGGAGAGGTAGCTAGTAGCTACTAAGACGCTACTACTGACAGGACGCAGGATAGCTCACGCTTCTTCAATGGATTCAAGGAAGCTCAGCTTCCTTCCTGGAGGGCTCACACTGATGATTTGGTTCCTAGATGTTTAGGGAAACTTAAAGTTGGGACCTCCTTTTTGCTACATTGCACTCATTGCACTTAACTTGTTCAATGACTTAGCTCTATGAAGTGACATGAAAGACCAACATGTAGAGAATATGAGGACAATCCTTCTGCTATGTTCCGCCCAGCTGCAACCCATGAAGTACATGGCAGCTCCAATGGAGTTTGCCTTTGGCCGTTCACTCACGACTAGCGATGGCCTCCAACCTAATAGCGATGGCCTCCAACCTAAAGAAAGCACTGTCAAATGCAGTGATATGACACGTCCTTTGGTTTGACCTGTTGCCTTTGCGACCAGATACCATGTAGAAGCAAAGACCAACTCCAGCTCCTAGCGCTGGACCCAAAGACCGCGAAATCCTCAGGCCGCTTTCCCGGACTCCAAACTGCCCTAATAGCGATGGCCTCGGACCTACTGGCTTCTGGCTGCCAGTAGCGATGGCCTCCACCTAGTAGCTTCTAGTTACTAGTAGTATTGCCAGGAGCTACTAATAGCTTCTTGCTCCTAGTAGAAATGCCCTTGTCACTAGTAGCTTCCAGTTGCCAAGAAGCTTCACAGACCCAAAAAGCTTCTTGTTACTGTTCCTAGTAGCGATGGCCTCCAACCTTCTAGCGATGGAGGAATGCAACCAAAACTCCAAACGCACAAACTTGCACAAACTCACTCCGTGTTCTATGTAGTTCCTCGTAGGAAGCGGTCGTCATAGAAGTTTTTGATGTCTTCTTTCCGATAGATGGAGTTAAACTCGGTCGAGACTCAGGTAGTAGGCACCACCACCTGCAATTTTGCCGTTCGTGGCAATAGCGGAAAGGCTAAGAGTCGTCAAGAAGGTGCATGTACCTCAGCAATCCAAAGCTTTGTATGTCTTGAAACGGCAACTGTCTTCCAGGTGAGTACCAGCATCTAAAGCTGAGCGACAGCAAACCAGGCCAACTCCAAAGGCTTCTAGAATGCCGCCCTTCCCCACGATCCTCGGAAGACAAACAGAACACCTCCGAACCTCCGACCTACTTGCGATGGCCTCCAACGTAATAGCTACTTATGGCGTCCTTGTTCCTAGTACCAAGGCCAGGAGCCCCTAGTAGCTTCCTTGCTCCTAGTAGTAGGGCCAGGAGCCCCTAGTAGCTTCTTGTTCCCAATAGCTTCAAGGTTCCATGGGCCGCGAAGGAAGAGAATGACACCCAAGATGTTTCCCATGCATGGGAATATCACACCTATCAAGAATGCTCTCAGGATGCGTTGCTAGCGGATTTTCAAACAATGTTACATGCTTTATAGCAAGGACGCTACTAGGGGCTCCTGGCATCGCATCAACACCAAGTGAGCCCTCTCCACAGAATCAAAAGGCCGTGTCGAAGCGGTACGTCCATGTATCAGTGGTCTTAGTAGATTCCTTTGCTAGTAGGAACAAGTGCATCGCTAGTAGAAACAGGTGCCTTACTGGTAGTAACAAGAAGCTATCAGTGACTACGTGACACAGTTTTACATTGAAGTGTTGAGTTTGCTGTTGTTGCAGTACTCGCTGTAACTACTAGTAGCTTCTTGTTACTACTAGTAAGGCACTTGTTACTAGAAGCGATGCACTTGTTACTACTAGCGAGGCACTTGTTGCTTTTACTGAAAGTTAGAGCAATCGGCAAAAGTGCGTCACTGTGCAACTCTTCAGCGATGCTTCACAGTGGCCCAACACAAGAGATGCCGGGGTTCGTGAGAAATGTCATTTCATTTCATTCACCGCCAAATGTCATTGCCTTGTGTTCAGTGAGAAACAACAAACTCCGCTAGCTAACGCTAGCCTTCCTCATGGGGGTTATGGTGCGGTGTTTGGCGCCAGTGATCTGTAGAGATTTCCCGTAGACCATGAAGGCTTGTAAACACTTTCCGTGATCTGCAGTGGCTTTGTAGATTTGTGGTAACAACTGTTGCATACAGCAGCGAATCAATTTTTACATGCCAAATGTATAGGTGCATTGCATTGGAGTCCTGCCTTGTACCATGCCCAGCGTACCTTTCACGGAGCCCTGAATGTCGGCCACATGCTTGTGAACAGTGGCCTGAGAATTCATGCGAATGTTGAGTCTTCAGTAGTTCTGTGCAGTTTCTGTACATGTCTTCTTCCATCTCGCAAATCTAAAAGATCTAAAAGGTCCTTCTGCAGGCAAGAAGCTACTGCCGAATCTCTACCATGCCAAAGGTGCTTGTCTTGATCCACCCCTGCGAAAGTCTTCGTCATCAATCGACTCAAGCCCAGTCAACTCCCAAGTTGTAAAAAAATAAGCTAGTAGTAACAAGTGCCACGCTTCTAGTAACAAGTGCCTTACTAGTAGTAACAAGAAGCTAGTAGTAACAAGTGCCACGCTTCTAGTAACAAATAAGCGATTTATCCGCGAGTCGGTGTAACTTCACCAGGCCCTTGGCCTTCCAACTTCATCGCATCCTCAGCGCAAAACGCAAATTCCAAGACCTAACGCTCCCTCAGCCCAGAGGCCATCGCTACTAGGGTGAAGGCCATGGCTACTAGGCTGGAGGCCATCGCTAGTAGGTTGGAGGCCATCGCTACTAGGGTGAAGGCCATCGCTAGTAGGTTGGAGGCTATCGCTCGTAGGTTGGAGGCCATCGCTACTAGGGTGGAGGGCATCGCTAGTAGGTTGGAGGCTATCGCTCGTAGGTTGGAGGCCATCGCTACTAGGGTGGAGGCCATCACAATTAGGTTGGACGCCATCACTATTAGGTTGGAGGCCATTGCTTATTCTAGGTTGGAGGCCATTGCTTCCAGGCTGGAGGCCATTGCTTCTAGGTTGGAGGCCATGGCTATTAGGTTGGAGGGCATCGCTAGTAGGTTGGAGGCCATCGCTAGTATGTTGGAGGCCATCGCTACTAGGGTGGAGGGCATCGCTAGTAGGTTGGAGGGATCGCTATTAGGTTGAAGGCCATGGCTACTAGGCTGGAGGCCATCGCTAGTAGGTTGGAGGCCATCGCTACTAGGGTGGAGGCCATCACAATTAGGTTGGACGCCATCACTATTAGGTTGGAGGCCATTGCTTATTCTAGGTTGGAGGCCATTGCTTCCAGGCTGGAGGCCATTGCTTCTAGGTTAGAGGCCATGGCTATTAGGTTGGAGGGCATCGCTAGTAGGTTGGAGGCCATCGCTAGTAGGTTGGAGGCTATCGCTCGTAGGTTGGAGGCCATCGCTACTAGGGTGGAGGCCATCGCTACTAGGGTGGAGGCTATCGCTCGTAGGTTGGAGGCCATCGCTACTAGGGTGGAGGCCATCGCTAGTAGGTTGGAGGCTATCGCTAGTAGGTTGGAGGCCATCGCTAGTAGGTTGGAGGCCATCGCTACTAGGGTGGAGGGCATCGCTACTAGGGTGGAGGCCATCACAATTAGGTTGGACGCCATCACTATTAGGTTGGAGGCCATCGCTAGTAGGTTGGAGGCCATCGCTACTAGGGTGGAGGCCATCGCTAGTAGAATGGACGCTGATACTGGTCGAGGGGCTGATGTCTGGGAGGCATGGCGTATGCCCTTACCTTCTGATACGGATGAAGTGGTTTGCATAGCCATGGCGGCAAAAGTATGTCAAGCTAGATGTTTGAAGTGCACCTGCTCCCAGAAGTTCAGCAAAGCTCCAGATGAACTCTGCAAATATAACAAGAGAAGCTATGGTGCCTACGCTTTGTGTATGTGAAACCGTTTGATAATATTAGACTTGCAAGCGAATGCATATCTAATCTACTTGCTTCTCTGTTTGGGACGACAAGTCTTTAAAAAGACCCAGCTGTTGCCTGTGCATGCTTCACCACATGCCCCTTTGAAAATGATGTCTTGGAACCAGTGTCAAAGCGGTAGAAATGTGAGTTGGTGATACCAAAAATAAGCTTTCTTGTTACTAGTAGCTTCTTGTTCCTAGTAGCGATGCCAGGAGCCCCTAGTGGCATCCCTCCTAGTAGTAAGGCCAGGAGCCCCTAGTAGCTTCTTGTTACTTGACTCGTTTTACTGTTCTCTACTTTTACTCTTTACTTCTTATACTTCTTTGTTTCTCTACTTTCCCTTTTCCATTCCTGTCATTCTTGCTCATTAAAAAAACAAAAAAACACTTACAACTCAGCGTTTGGTTTCCACGGCGTTTGCCAATGTGAGACATAAGCTATGTCAAGAATGGCTCGCGTCCAACTCCCTATGCAAAACGCTCCGTGCAGCAGCAACAAGCCCAAGCGGCAAATTACTGTGAAAAGCACGATATAAAACCTTCAGCCGCGCTTTGCGTGGCGGATGTGCATCAAGTTTAGTCTGCCTTCACGTTGAAGCGGACATAGGGCAGTCCATACCATTCCAACCTCCGGTTTGCAAGAGAAATAGAGAACCCACTTCTCGTGCCCCGGAAGGTTCAGAATAGCTAAATGAGTTGGTTCAAAAGAGAAATGTCCGAAGGTCTTACGAACAACAGCAAAATTAAGAATCATCCAGTCATCCAAAACAAAAAACAATACTTAAGGAATGCAGACGACTAGCAATGGCCTCCACCCTAATAGCAATGGCCTCCAACCTACTGACACTGGCCTCCACCCTACTAGCAGTGGCCTCCACCCCAATAGCAATGGACTCCCCCCCTACTAGCAATGGCCCCCACCGTAGCCTCCAACCTACTAGCAATGGCCTCCAACCTACTGGCACTGGCCTCAACCTAGAAGCAATGCCTCTAACCTACGCACTGGCCTCCACCACATTAGCAAAGGCCACCAGCAATGGCCTCCAACCTAATAGCAATGGCCTCCAACCTAGGAGCAATGGCCTCCAACCTACTAGCAATGGCCTCCAACTTAATAGCAATGGCCTCCAACCTAGGAGCAATGGCCTCCAACCTACTAGCAATGGCCTCCAACTTAATAGCAATGCCTCCAACTTAATAGCAACGGCCTCCAACCTAGGAGCAATGGCCTCCAACCGAATAACAATGGCCTCCAACCTGATAGCAATGGGCTCCAACCTAGGAGCAATGGCCTCCAACCTACTAGCAATGGCCTCCAACTTAATAGCAATGGCCTCCCACCTGATAGCGATGGCCTCCAACCTACTAGCAATGGCCTCCAACTTAATAGCAATGGCCTCCAACCTAGTAGCAATGGCCTCCAACCTAGACCTAGGAGCAATGGCCTCCAACCGAATAACAATGGCCTCCAACCTGATAGCAATGGCCTCCAACCTAGGAGCAATG